CTGATGGGCATCCCCTCAATTTCCAATTCTTTGCCACTACAAAAAGAGGTGCTATAAATATTTTGTACAAATAGGTCCTTTTTGCTCCACCTCCCACTTAAAAAAAATTTCTGTGAGATACAGACCTAGTAGTGGTATTGCTGGATCAAAGGGTATGCACAGTAATATAGTCCTTTGGGTATAGTTCCAAATTGTTCTCCAGAATGGTTAGATCAGTCCCCAACTCCACCAATAGTGCATTAGTGCCTCAATTTTCCCACATTGAGGCTTAAATGCTTTGTGGCAAAGGCCCTTTTGGCAGTCTGGGGAAGCCTGTGGACTTCTTCTCTGAATAATATTTTAAAAGGCATAAAATGAAATAAATAGGATTACAGAGGAAATCAATTACATTGAAATAATTATGAAAGCACAGAAAAAGTTCATGGATTCTAGGTTAAAGATCTCTGTTCTGGAGCCTCCTGATAGTAGAAAAATCTTCAAATCCAGTTTCTGACTGCTAGACTTGTATTCTAAAGACCTGGGATTGGTTTTCTTCTCTGTAAAATGGGAATATTACCTACCCCACCTACCTCAGTAATCAATGAAGGCTAAATGAAACACATGAAAGTGTTCACCAATGACCAGTGATAAAGCCTGATATAAATGTACAGTATCATCTATTTAGTGACCTGGCATGTGTGGGATATTGGGAAGTGCTTTTTCTTTGGAGTTGGCTGATCTAGGCATGAAAATATACTTGATGTGACCCTGTTGTCTCACTTCAGTTTCTTCACCTGTAAAATAAATGAAGATCATAATGCTTGCCCTATTTACTTCAAAAAGTTGACATGAGATAAACATTTGTAAATTTGACTTATTTCCTCAGATACATTTCATTTTTCTTGCTTCCTATAAAATACATCAGAAATTAGAAGCCTCTTGATTTGTGGCTCAGCAGTGTTTTCTTTTGTTTACTCACCTAACTGAACCTGCACTCACTGTTATAGGCTGTACTATGAGATTATACATTGAAGCTGCTTGATAATTTAGCAAGATTTAGTAATTGCTAAACATCCATCGACCATTGGAAGACCCTTGGAACTTCAGCTGTCATATTTTCCAACAAGACTGGGAAAAACCAAATGCTCCAGGCATACATTTCTGTTCTTACAGCTTACTTTTCGAGACATTTTCTTTGGGCATTATCATACAAGAGGGCTCAAAAGAAGGCTAGACAGAGCATGGTGGTGCATTCTTGCAATCTCAGCCGAAGGGAGGCTGAGGCTGGGGATCTCTTGAGCTTGTGATGGGCTGCTTCTGGCATGGATATAGTGAGCCCCTGGTGGGGCATGGCGGGGAATAGAGTGTAGGGAAGGGACACAAGGTTATCTAGGAAGTGAGAAATGATCTAGGTCTGCAACGGAGCGGGTCAAAATATTGATAAGCAGTAGACTCTGGTCTTTGAGTAGTCTCAGCACTTCCAGTCTGGGTGGGATGGGGAGACCCAGGCTTAAAAACAAGCGAGCAAACACACCAACAAAAAGATGGCCAGCTTATTATTACAGAGGGTGATTCCAGTCCTCTGAAGTCAAGGGCCCAAGTCCTTCAGCCCATTGGGGGATTAGGTTGTATCAGGCTTCTCAGCTGTCATCCAAATACTTACTTCTCTCAGGTAGATCCAATAATCAGGACTTGCTAGAATATTCTTGAAGTGGTATAAAGGAACTACAGTCTATGCTTTCGAATTTTTGTTGTTCAGTCATTTCTGACCCTTCGTGACCCCTTTTGGTGTTTTCTTGGCAAAGATACTGGAGTGATTTGCCATTTCCTTTTCCAGCTCATTTTACATATGAGGAAACTGAGGCAAACAGGGTGAAGTGACTTGCCCAGGGTCATATGGCTAGGAAATGTCTGTGGCCAGATTTGAACTCAGAATTTCTTGACTCCGGGCCCAGCACTCTACCTACTGAACCACCTAGCTGTCCATGCTTTTGATGCTCAAGTAGTAAAACTTGTTAGTCTTCTACAAAGCTCAACTATCCAGGAAAACAAGAAGAGCCCCAGAAAGCTTTAAAATCTGCATTTACTCCAGGATACAGGCTTTTGACCCACTACGGTGACCTCTAGCAGCCAGCAATGTCACAGCTAGGGCTGTTGCTTCTTTGTAGTGAAGTAAGCAAATGCATGTGTGTGCACATCCTTTTTTAAAAGAATTGAAAACCTGCTTTCCAGTTACTGTGTGTCAAATGTCATACAATCCTCCCAGGGCAGACCCTTCTTTTTAATTCCTTTGGCATTTATTACTGCATTCCATGTTAAGTCTTACTACCATTCCATTGAGTCCATAACTCAGAAGGGACTTGAATAAGGACCAAACTTGAGATTTTCTTTCTATGGTTTTGGAGACCAGGGCTAAATGGGGAGGTCATTTATGGACAACACTGTGGTCATCTACTAAGGAGAGAAGCCTGGGTACTTGGAAAGCAATGCATTCCTTCCAATGCACAAGGGAAGAAGGTGACTGTTGCTCTCCAACCCTGCAGATTGCAAAAGCCAGAAATCTTTTTGAAAAGAAAGCTCTCCCAATTTTACACTTATCTGGTGTGGCTGTGACTATAGTTAAGACAGATTATGAAGGATGAGCCAAGGAAGCTACTAGAATTAATGGAAAACTGAAGCTTCCAGGTTGGTGGATTGAGTGGTAATGCTGTCCATTCCAAGCATGGAGAAGCATGCAGAATGTGGAGTGTGGAAATGACATGGCTAGCCAGGTCTCTTCAAATTAGACTGTCCTGGTGGGGGCTTTGTATTTGTTTGGATGTGGTAGTAATTTAATCAATAAGCATTTATTAAGTGCCCATTATGTGTCAGGCACTATGCTAAGCACTGGGGGTACAAAAAGAGGCAAAAGACAGTCCTTTCACTCAAGAAGCTTACAATTACCTCCTAAAACAGCAGATACTCCCATATTAAAATCATGTACCCAAAATAGTCTTGGTGGCTGGGATGCATTTCTGTTTTGGTGTTTATGAAGAATGAGGCTGAGGGATGAAAAGAGAATGGGATGGAGAGTATTAGAGGTAACTTGAGGAACAGGGAAAAATAACAGCTGTGTTACTCCTTAAGTTGGCCATGGGGACCTAAGGGATTTGGAATTGCTAAGTGTCCAAATCCCCTCCCCAGGGTTTCAAGAGCTTTCCCATTTTTATGCTGCATGTGAGAGGACAGAGTAAAAAGAATTATACTCCCTACCCCCAGAAGTTATTTTAAAACGAACCAGCCAAATGCTTAGAATACATACAAAGTCTGATCTCCAGAAAGATAACACTCAGCAACTTTAATGGAGCTGCCAATCCCCAAATGTCCATTCTCCCTTTTATCTTTGAAGGAAGGGTTCTCAGTTCCAAAATAGCAGGCCCAAAAAATACCAGTGACTTGATGTTAGTTGAGCAAAGTGGTGCTCTCCTGTAAATGCAGATGCTGTGGGGATGACTCCTGATTGAGAAGGGAGGTAACTTAGAGCTTGACATGTTATAATTGGCTATGTTTTCAAGATTTGCCAAATTCAGCGAATGATGCTCTTTGTGGGTGGCTGGGACCTTTCAAAGCAGTGTAGAGCAATAAATAGCAACTATGGAAAGGATGAGTATCACTGGAGACTAGAAACATAAGACCCACAGTTAGAATGCCTGAGTTACATCCTTTGCAAACTGCTTAGACAGAAGCCAGCCCAATAAGCTAACTAGTCCAACACCAGTTTTTCTAATTCTACTTGTCCCCTAAAGTCAGATCTCACTATTTTGGAACCTGTGATTCTTTTTGCACTACTTATGAAGAGAAGGTTTGGGACAGTGAGAATGAAAGGGAGTGAAGAAAGGCAGAAATGGACGAAGGCAAAGAAAAGAAGGTGGGAAGGATGAAGGTGGAAAGAAAAGGAGGGATGGGAAGGAATGAAGGAAAGAAGGAAGAAAAGATGAGGGAAGGAATGGAAAGGAAGGGAGGAGAAAGGAAAGAAGGGAAGGGTTAAAAGGAAGGAAGAAAATGGAAAGACAGGGAATGAGGAAAGAGAAAGAGGAGGGAATATTTAACACTTGAACTTTCTTGGGGGGCAGCTAGGTGGCACAGTGGATAGAGCACTGGCCCTGGAGTCAGGAGGACCTGAGTTCAAATCCGGCCTCAGACACATAACACTCACTAGCTGTGTGACCCTGGGCAAGTCACTTAACCCCACTGCCCAGCCCCTCCCCCCCCCCCAAAAAAAGAACTTTCTTGGTTCTCTTGTCTTCCTCACCTCTGATGCCTTCTTCTCACTTTTAGCCATGGGCCCCAAGTCCTTAACCTTCTGCTCTTCTTTACATTTATTTCCTTGAAGAGCTTAAACACAGTCCTAGCTTTGAACATCATCTAATTGTGGATGAATTCCTAATCTAAATGTTTCCTGTCTTCTCTCCTGTTTCATATTCCTAGTTGCATTATCATCACTATATGTACATTTGTAATGTTTGCATCTATTTTTTTGACCTATACAGTGTCCTTGTGACAAGGAAAATATTGTTTTCCCCATTTTATTGATGAGGAAACAGAGGCTCAGAGATGACCTCATTCCCAGGGTCATACAACGAGCAAGGGATGGAACCAAATGGAACTGAGTCAGGTCTTGAGATAGCTATTGTTTCTGTCTCTGTCACGCTCTGGTTATATTTGCACACGGGTCGGACACTCCCAGTGTGGAAAAGCGCAATGGGAGCCAGAGCTAATGTTGCGGGTACTTATGTAACACCTAGAATATAAGAGCTGGCATTAAACCTGCTAACCTGATGAATCTGGATAACCATCCCAGTATGTTCTTTGAAAATTTTGCAGTAAAATCTCTCTTTCCCCGCTCACCACGTTGCTCTGTGCCAGGTACCCAAAGTGAAGCCCTACTAGTTAACTGGGATGTCAGTATTGTGGTGCACTTAAACATGAGGAAGGACATTTCAGAAGAGTAGATGCTTGGAATTAAACAAAGACCAAACAACTCATTGCCAAAGTTTTATTTTGAAGCTCTTACTTTGGAATCTTATATCACAAAAAGACGTGTTTACAAGTATTATAAATTGAGATGTTTTTTTTTTTAACTTCTATCATTGTAAAGTAAAATTGTAGATACTGTTCCAAACCATCTTCAAAAAGGCAGACCCAAACTTTTCTGTATATAAACTGTACACAAAACAAGGCACTATACATTTGTTGTTTGTTTTGGATGTTAAGGTATGAAGGTGGCAGAGTTTCTCAAGAGACCCCAGCCATAAGTACAAAGGTTTTGTTCCTTTTAGCCCTGGCAGCGGTCATTAGAACAGCTCCTTGCCCATTGCCAAAGGAAACGTTTCAGAACGTGTATAAGATACATATACTGGTGGGATAGATAATTCAGTAGAAGCAACTCCATCTACTTCTTGGTATTGTTTTGACACCAAAAAAAATTTTTTTTTAAAGTGAATACATATTGCTTTGTTAAACACATACTTGAACTATACGGTGTTTATATAAATATAATTTTTTTAATAATCCACAAGCTAACAAAATAACACTTTACAAAGAGAGCGTCTTCAAAAATGAATAGGCAGAGGCTGGAGAGAGCCAGAGGAAGGCTCGGCAGCAGCTGTGAGGGGCTACTGCTCCAAGTGCACAGGAGACCCAAGTTTACAAATAGGAAGTACCCTCTGAGTAACAGGGGGAGAAAGTTTCCAGCGAGTTCTCTTACACATTTACAAAATTACACAACTCCAGCTCAGGCAGTATCTAATAACTTCAAATCGTTTCTACTTTGATTTTAAAAATTTGAAGACCAGTCCAAATAGATGTCCATCTTCTTGGCCCAATGGTACATGAAGTGACAACAGAGATTTCTCCGGCCTCATCTTCCATTGGCAGCATCGAAGCTCAGAAAAGCCCTTTCGCTTTTTTAAGGTTCACCTGTTTCCAAGATGGCAGCATGCTATATTCTTCTCTGGTCATGTCTAGTGCAACCTGAAAGAAGGAAAAACACAAAAAACAACCCAGAGTAAGAAAACTTTGTCTGGTGCTGAAGTAGGCTGTTCTCTCTTATCACCCAGTTTGTCAACCTCAGCGTCACCTTCATAGCTTTACTTTTCCTTGGTGCATGGATCCAATCAGCTGTCAACCTTGTCATCTTTACCCGTACAACTTCTCTCCAATTGATCCTCTTCTCTTCATTCATACAGATACCAACCCAATTCAGACCCTCACTAACTCCTGCCTGGGCTATTATTATAAGAAGCTGCTATTTGGATGATTTCTCTTCCTTTCTCTCTTCCCCAAGCCTCTTCTCACTCCAGTCCATCATCCACATAGCTGCTAAAGTGATTTTCCTAAAGCAGAGTTCTGATCGCATCTCCTTCCCCCTCAATGAACTTTGATGGCTCCCTATTACCTGTGGAATCAAATACAAATGCCTGCGTTTGGCATTTAAAACTTCAAAACATAGCCCTTGACAACCTTTTCTGCCTTACTGTCCATGACTCCCCTCTGCACATGCACTGGACCCATAAAGCTAGCCTTTTTGTTACTCCTCATTTGGGATGCTCCATCCCAAACCTCTACCCTTCCAATGCCGGGAATGCTCCTCTCTCCCTTCCCCTCTACTCGGAATCCTCGGTTTTCTTAAAGATTCAGCTCAAGGGATACCTTCTGTACAAGGCTCCTCTCTCCCCGACTACTATGCATCTCTTTGCGTCTGTATATGTTCTCTTTCCCATTAAGCTCATTGAGAACAGAGACCATTTCACCTTTACTTTGCATCTCTAGGGCCAAGCACCATGGCTGGTACTTTGTTGTTGTTCAGTCATTTTCCATTTGTGTCCGACTCTTCATGACCCAACTTGGGGTTTTCTTGGCAGAGTTACTGGAGTGGTTTGCCACTTCCTTCTCCAGTTTGTTTTACAGATGAGGAAACTGAGGCAAGCAGGGTTAAATGACTTGCTCAAGGTCACACAGCTAAGTGTCTGAGACCAGATTTGAACTCAGGAAGATGAGTCTTCCTGCCTCTGGGCCTAGCGTTCTATACACCACGGCGCCACTAAGCTACCCACTGGCATTTAGTACATACTTTAAAAATGCTTGTTGATTGACTCAATGACCAGCCTACTTGCCCTCCAGATGACTTACTTCAAAATCTTCATCTGTAAGGTACAGTTCAAGCTTCAGAGGGTCAACTCCTTCAGGGAGAGGTCTGGCCAAGAGATCAGCCAGTGGATAAACGGTTTTACAAAGCTTGGCTAACACGTCTTCCACGAGGATTATCTGATTAGAAACTTCGGTATCCTGGAGAAGAGAGGAATGAAGAAATTGTTTTTGAGTATGAGAAAAAGCAAGAATCAAGAACCAAAGGTTAAAATAAAAGCTGTTCTAGGGACTGCCCTGTGGGCTTGGTATGGTGTGACTGTTGTCCTTTGTCCTCTAAGAGGATCAAAATGACATTGCTATGTTAGAATGCAGTTACGGTGTGTCCAACTGTGACCCATCAGACCAATACAAACTCGGAATGCTCTACCACAGGCTGGGCACAAAATGTTAAGGCGACACCAAGCGCCCACATCAGTTCCTTTCTCTCTCTAGCCCTGAGACCTCACATCAACCATCCAACTTGGGAATGGAGGAAAACTGTAAGAAGTACTGGAGAGACAGTGTGGTATGGTTCCGGGATTTCAGCTAGGTTAACCACATATATCTATATATCTACATATATATCTACCTACACACACACACACACACCCCTACATATATAAATATATGTACATATTTACAAATACATATTTTATATATATATATATACATATGAACACAAACACACACATACACATATACATATATGATTGGAGTGAGAGAAAAATACCACTGGACTACACTGTGTGAAGGTGTGGAGACCCTGGTAGGGTGGGAACAGCTTTCATTTTATTGACCATTTCAGGGGGTAGGCAGGAGGGGAAGGGACTGGCTGTGATTTCATTGGCATAAAGAACTTCTTCCACCATTGCCAAAGGCCACCTATCATTTGCCTGGGGCACTGAGAGGTTAAATGATGTGTCCAACATCACACAAAGTGATGATCACACCAGAAACTGAATATGAGTCTCCCTGACACTCAGACTGACCCTCTATTTAGGATGTTTTCCTCCAACACCTGCAGTTTCACAAAGGCCAGTGAGTTCTACTGAGAAAAACCTTGCAATGGCAGATGGGCACAGACAGCAAACGGTGTACTTTTGCTGTCTATGTCTATCTCCAGCTGGCCAAGAGCTGCTGCAGCTGCATCCATCACTGAGAAGTGCCTGTGTACCTTCTGAGTGGTGGCAGCAGCTAGCAGTGTGGGAGAGCAGAGTGGGAACTAGAGGGAGAGGTCCTGGGTTTGAATCCCATCTCTGGCACTTATTAACTGTGAGCCCTGTGTCTGGCAAGGCAAATGACAATAAACAACATTTCTTGGGTGCTTTTAAAAGTTTGCCAAGGGTAGAGCCAAGATGGCAGAGAGAAGCTGGGAAGTTGCCTGAGCTCTCCTCGGTTTTCCTTGGAAACAACATTAAATCAAGCCTTTAAATGGATTCGAGAGCAACAGAACCCACAAAAAGACAGAGTGCAACAGTTTTCCAGCTTCAGATAACCTAGAAGGACTTCAGGAAAGGTCTGCCTCACTTGGGTAAAAGGGAAGCGCAGCCCAGCACAGGTGGTGTTTGGGCAAGCTAGCAGGAGGCTCTTAGCCACAGCACAGAGGGCAAAGTGCCAGCCCAAGAATCCCAGCCCAACAGGCGTGACTAGGCCAGGCCACCCCAGTGCACCTGAGGCTCCTGCTTAGAAACCCAGTGACCAGGTCCAGGGCCTCCAGTGTGAGAAGCTTGGGACAGTGCCCTCTGTGCCTTAGGACTACTGCTTAACTTTAAAAGTCATGAAATAGGCTAAAAAATGAAGAAAAAAACCAAAAAGAGCCCTGACCACAGAAAGCTACAGTGGGGACAGGGAAGGTCAAAATGTAAACTCAGAAGAGGACAACAATGTCAAAATGCCTATGTGCAAAGCCTCAAAGGGAAATATAAATTGGTCTCAAGTCCAAAAAATGTTTTTGGAAGAGCTCAAAAAGGATTTTAAATATCAAAGAAGAGAGGTAGAAGAAAGATCGGGAAAAGAAATGAGAATTTTGCAAGAGAGAGTCAACGGCTTGGAAAAGGATGGACAAAAATTGACTGAAGAAAACAACTCCTTAAAAAATAGAATTGGCCAAATGGAAAAGGAGGTACAAAAGCTAACCAAAGAAAATAATTCCTTCAAAATTAGAGCTGGGCAAGTGGAAGCTAATGACTCTATGAGACATCAAGAATCAGTCAAACAAAAGCAAGAGAATGAAAAAATAGAAGAAAATGTAAAATACTTCACTGGAAAACCAACTGACCTGGAAAATAGATCTAGGAGAGATAATTTAAGAATTATTGGATTAGCTGAAAGCCATGATTAAAAAAAAAGAGAGCTTTGACAGCATCTTTCAAGAAATTATTAAGGAAAATCTTTTCTCTGCTGACTTTTTTTGTGGATGGCAAGGAAGTGGAAACTAAGTGGTGTCCATCAATTGGGGAATGGTTGAACTAAGTACGGCATATGAATGTAATAGAATTCATGCTGCATGGAGGGTCAGCCTGAGAGGCAGGGAGATGTATCCAGTTTTTGTGTGATGCTTGACACATTGTGTAATAGAATACTGTTGTACTGTAAGCAAGGATGAAAGGGTCTGAGACTTGGGAACATTTGTATGAACTGATGCGGAATGATGTGAGCAAAACCAAAAGAATAATTAATATGATAACAATACTATAAGGACAAACCTCTTTGAAAGATTTCAGAATTCTGATCAATGCAGAGACAAACCATGGCTCTAGGGGACTTACGATACCTAGTACTCACCTGACAGGGATGTAAGGGGCACTGGGTACAGAATGAGACATATATTTTTGGAAAAAAATGGGAAAGTGAGGATTTGTTTTACTCAACTACATATAATTATTTACAAAGGTGTGGGTTTTTTAATGGGGGGGCATGTAGGGAGAAAAAACAAATGCTTATAAATTGAAAAAGCTACTTTAAATGTTAAAGTCAAGTATATAAAAATCAAATCAAACACTTTCTCTACTGACTCATTTGACATTCCTTTCAATCTAATTCTCCCTAAGATGTAGCCTATAGGTACAAAGACCAACATGTCACAGATTTTCAAGGGAAGTCCTGATTTCAGATATTTTGTTCCATTCATAAAGCAGATAAAGATGCCTTTGTCAGACCAAGTGTCCTGACTTTTTGTTTGGAAAATATGGTGACTATATCCGTGGCCATATTGAAGAAAGTTAGAGAGAAAACTCAACAGAGCAATTAGTAGTTCCAGCTGGGATCAGTATTTTCTTAGAGGGGACCCTAGAGAGAACATGACTGGATTCTTAACTCATCAATTCTATGTTTCATTTAGAGTAAACTGACACATATTATATGTCACCAGCCTCCTTCAAAGTGTATTATCTTCCTCAATCAGAACATAAGCTCCTTGAGGGTTGGATCTATCTTTGCTTTTGCATTGGCATACAGTAGGAATGTAATAAATGCTTTTTGTTTCATCCATCCATCCATCTATTCATTCTGTCCTATGGAAAAGTCTGATTGTTGAAAAAAGCCGTTATGCTTCCTAGAGAGTCTCATTTTCATATTCAATGTCATTATTTGGAAATGAAATGGCAAGGTTTGGAAAAGGCAAAAGGAGGTGCATTCTTTTTTTTTTTTATCTTCTTCTTTTTAGGCAATTGGGGTTAAGTGACTTGCCCAGGGTCATACAGCTAGTAAGTGTCAAGTGTTTGGTCTGAGGCTGGATTTGAACTCAGGTCCTCCTGACTTCAGGGTCAGTGTTCTATCCACGGCGCCACCTAGCTGCCCCTAGGAGGTGCATTCTTGTAGAACTTTTTTAAAAAATTTTGGTAAGCAGCAAAAAAGGAACCTTAATATTCAATAGAATCTATATAAAATTTAAAAATAATCAGGCTCTCTGAGTGGTAGGGAGCTGAGATACATTTGGAAATGAAGCTGATTAAAAAAAAGATATCAATAATTAAACTGAATCATTTCCATTTGAATTATCTTAGAAAGATTCTGAAGATCACCTGGCAGGATGAGACTCAGGACAGACACTGAGGTCCTTTCTCAAACTAAACTGCCAAGCATTCAAACTCTACTGCTGAGAGTGCAACTCTGATGGGCTGGCCACATTGTTTGAATGCAAAACGTATGCTTGCCAGAAAGACAAAACAAGAGCTCACATGGTGGTCAGAAAAAGTCGTACAAAGACATTCTCAAGGGCTCTCTTAAGAAGTCTGGAACTGATTGTGTGACATGGGAGACACTGGCACAGGACGGCCCAGCATGGCATGCCATCAGCAGAGAAGGGGCTGTGGTCTATGAACAAAGCAGAATTGAAGCAGCTTGAAAGAAACTCGAGATGCGCAAATTTAGAGAATCCACCCCAAATGTTCACACGGACGATTTGTGCCTGACCTGTGGTGGAGCATTGGTCTGTAAATTGACTCGAGCATAGTGATGTCATTTTGGTCCTCTTCAAGAGTGAAGGACAACCGCCAAGAGGGGCTTTAAGATTTTTTTTTAACCACAAGATTTCTGCAGAAGTTTTGTTTAAAGTAAAGGACTGCCCCTGGAAACAACAACTGTCACTACTAAAAATGGGCTTCCTCTCTTTGGACTAAAAATTCACCCCTTACTCTTCACACTTCCCCATTCCCAACCCCCCCCCCCCACCATGGCCTCCCCCAAACAACAGTCACCAATGGAAGGCAGACACACCATTTCTGTGATTTCAGCAATGTCTTCTCTATGTTCCCAACTGGGAAACATATTGGTGAAGGTCAGAGGTTCTAAACCAGCATGGAGAAGGTAGGACTTGGGGGGTTTCTTGACATTTTTTCCTGCCATGACCAAAAACATAAATGTTAGTAGATACTTAACAGGGTAAAAAACACGCTTGTTTAGTATTTTAGTCTTAATCATTGTTGGTCACTAATGAAATATTTAAGGGGAAAGTTAACAACAGCAGATAAGAGATTCCCACCAAATGTTCACTGCTGTACATTTTACAGCTAATTATCAAAATCCGGTCTGCCTACATCGCTCCCATTTTTTTGTCCCACAATGCCCAACATGTTGTTGGACCTGATGGATTCGTGAAAAGAGAAGGCATCTCTGTTACATTCTCCTATGCCTTCATAAATCTGTGAAGGGTTTCCTATTATCCTGACCTTGGCCCTGAGGTTAAAGCTATCTACTGAAGACCTAAGTTAATGAAATTCTGCACAGTTCTCTAGTATTTGAAGCACTGAGTGATAATTAGATGAGTGTGTTCATGTGGAACTGCTTGGGAAGAGAACCTATCACAATGAATAATGCTGAAAACGTTCACTTTAAAAAGGGTTTTCGATCCTATCCACAGGGACCACCTCTTTTCCAACTCTACACGAAGGACAGTGAAATGTGAGACACACTCTACATCTTAGGTGATTCAGTGTGGATCTCGGGTCAAGAAAACCTGAGTTCAAATTTGACTCCAGACGCTCACTGTGTGACCCTGCGCAAGTAACAACTTCTCCGCCTCGGTTTCCACATCTATAAAATAGGACAGTAATATCACGCACCTACCTCCCAGGGTTGTGGTGAGGATAGAATGAGATATTTGTAAAGTGTTCTGCAAACCTTGAAGCACTACTTAAAGTTATTATTACAGTTGTTGTTGTTGCTGTTGTTATTATCTGATAGCTTAGTTGTCGCATAGAATGATTTAATCCTGAGTGCAGGAAGCTCTTAACCACTCCAGAATACTTTGCAATATGGATTTGGACCTCTATTGCAAGCCCTCATTCCACAATAAAAAAATGATCACAATCATGCTGGAAATCTCAAAATCTCTAATCTCAAAAGAAATAAGCCTAAAAAATATAAAAGAAAAACCAGTTTTTCATAAACTGCCAGAGCTTATCAATGTTCTAACAGATTTAGGCACAATGGCACCAAATAAGACAAAGAGAAGAAGCTGATGCTACGGACTGGTACTATGATCCAAAGTTCTACGGAGCTGTCTTGGAGTATTAGCCACTGGCTAAGATGATAAACGCTCCAGTTTGATAGGCCTGACTGAATCCCAGTCGCCTCTCCCTTGTCTCATTTCACAGCTGAGGGTGTCTCTACACAACGTCCTTTCAGAGAGGGGCCTACCTTTGCAGTACCGAAGCACCGTCTCCATCGCACACTTTCGGTCGTTGGCCCAGCGAATCCTGGCCGAGCCTGTTATCTTGTTCTCCATTGGCCACCACCCTTGCCAGAGGTATACTTCATGGTGGTTGTCAACAAGGAAAAGTGCTGTGGAGAAGAAGGCCAAAAGTCACCTACTACATTTTCCAGGACAGAACTGATCTGCCTTCCTCTCAGATTCCCTCGGCAGTCATCTACAGAGAAAACATAGCTATCAGAAGCCTCCTTGTGATAGGGTCCAGTTTATGCGGGGGATACAATTATTGGTGGCAATCTATCATTGTCCACCATATTGCCTCTCCTCTTTTTCTTCTTTCTTCTTTTAGTCTCCTACTCCCTTTCTTTTTCTCTTTTCTAACTATGCTTTAGGCTGGTCAGTGGGAACCATGAGCATTGCCAGTCTTTGCTGCTGGCATTCAGACTGAAGGAGTTGCTGACTCCAGTTCTAATACATGATGGGGCTATTGTGATTTATATGTTGGGTTATGCTTAGCAGTCTTTTTTTTTCTTTTTAAACAAGATTGAGACTGTGAGAGAGCCAAAAAACATGTTTTCAAAATAGTTTTTATCCTGCCTATCTCCTCCTTGCCAACTGCTCCTCTCTCATTCCTCCTCTCCTTTGCTCTCCTCTATCCCTTCCATTAACATGCCACTGAACTAATAACTTTGCCCTTTTATTTTTCACACAAAGGAGAGAGCTTCTTCTTGGTAGTTCTATTCTCTGGGGATCTGAATACAGTGCACACTGGGATGTTAGGATCACAGGTACAGGGCTAGAATAGACCTCGGAGCTCATGTAGGCCTCCCCTCTTATTAGACCAGCCTGGTGAAATGACTTGCCCAAAATCACACATGGAGGATGGGGCAAAGGTAAGATTTGAACCCGGATCCTCTGACTTCATGTCTAACATGCTCTGTGACTGGTTTACTTAGAACTTAGTCTTCTCTTAAATTTGTTTTTTCCTTTTCTTTTATTTTTAGTTATCTATCCTAGGTCCAAAATCTACCCTGAAGAAAAGGAGAATGAGCCTCAGACACATAACACTCACTAGCTGTGAGACTCTGGGCAAGTCACTTAACTCCAATTGCCTCACTGAAAAAAAAAAAAGAAAAAGAAAATAAAAGAAAAGGAGAATGAATTGGGTAGGGTGTGCAGTCTTTTTCTTTTCTGCACCCTCAGTCCAAATCAGGACTGTGAGGGCACCTTCCACTAGCCATCTTATAGAGGTTGAAATTGTTAATACTTCTGAAGAGTGTGGTGTGTGTCTATTTATGGATGGAAGTTTGGAGAATGGGAGTGGAGAGGCAGGCATGAGGTGGGGATCAGGGTAGAAGAAGTCCTATCCTGCCACTTCCAGGAGAAGAAGACTATCCCAGTTCCAACCAGATCCCAGGAATTCCCACCTGATGGCTCAGGGCTCAGGCAGCAGCTGTGTTTTTTTCTTTCCTACTGCTGTTCAGAAATAGTCGTAGCACTCAGATTATCCTACCTGGTTGTGGGGCACTGTACAGGTCTTCTTGTAAGAAGGGCATGGAATTGACCACAGAAGGATCTCGGGCAGGATACATGAATTCGGTGGCTGAGAAATCTCCAGATGAACTACTGAGGATGAACAGCCGGGGCGTGAAATTAAACTTTCCAGGATCTTTGAAGGGAAAAGAACAACAAAGGAACTAAAGACAAGAAATAGACATTGACCACTTCTAATTAACTGTGGCTGAAGAAAGAAACAGCCACATTTCCAGTGATTACATAATTGGGGGCTTTAGAAATGAGAGTGACATGACTTTTGGAGTCTTGTAATGGGGGATAATGGTAAGTCTGACCTTCAGACGTATGCTTGTGTAATTGGCACATAAATAGTTCTTTTGAAACTTTCCAAAGTGCCAGGCATGGTGGCGTGTAATGATAATCCCAGATATTGGGGAGGCTGAGTCTGGGAGTTCTGAGCTTCAGACGGCAATGCAGATTGGGTGTCTGCCCTAAGGTGGGTAGAGTATGGGAACCCCTGTGAGTGGGGTCAGGGGGACACCAGGGATTGCCTAAGGAGTGGGGATCTGACCTAGGCTGGCAGGCCAAAGCTGTCATGACAATCAGTAGTGGAATTAGGTATGTAAGAAGCCCTTACATTCCAGCCTGGGGTAAGATGGGGAGACCCAAACTTCAAAATAAAATAAAATAAAATGTTTTCAAAGTGACTTACATCTACTTTGAGTCTTAACAACCCTGCAAGGTAGTTACTACAGCTATTATCGTGCCCATTTTGAGAAATGAGTAAACTAGCACTCACGAAGATTAAATGACTTGTCCCAGCTGGATTTGAACCTAGCTCCTCCTGAATCCATGTCCAATGCTCTAACTACTAAAGTTGATATTTTTATGACACGGCTGATGTTCTTGAAAACTTATGAAATGAAATTATCCTCTAAGCAGATGGGAAAAGCTCCACAAGCCAGCTCTTTGGCCAAGCTTAGTGAGTGAACCTTGGTAAGGCACCAGGAACCAGTGGTCCTTGAAGGCTCAGGGCACGGAAAACTCTCAAGGGCAGCTATTCAAGCACTTGAGGGCATCCTGTCTGCTCGAGTCTGGCAGCAATAATGCAAAAGGGAGCGGCTGAGAGATGGGGGGGGAGAAGAAATGGGGCAGGGCTGAAACAACTGCTATTACTGCTGCTGCTGCTGCTGCTACTATTAGCTACTATTTCTCTGTTGCTTCACACAAAGCTTTTCTCTTACAACCAGCCTGAGAGGTAGGTAGAGGAAGGGTAACTCTCCCCATTTTACAGACACAGACACTGAGGATGCGCTACCTTGTAGCATGCAGTCGTATGCCTTCCGATCTTTCCTTCCTAATGCATCCCAGAATCCCAATGGCTCTGACCCTTCATCACACTCATGTATAGTCACCTTGCTGCTACTATGCAATCCAGCTTCCAGTGGACATCTGTGGGGAGAAAACCCAACACAATTTTGTACATACCCTGCGTGTAACAACAGTACAAAGAATCCCAAAGTCCAAACCTAAGGGTTGGTTTGAACACATCAGTCACATGATTCAATTTTCCCTGATGAAAGGAATCATTGATCTATTTTGGGCTATCACTGGCTCTTGGACTTCAGCTTGGTAATGATAGCAGAAACCTATGGGAGTCTTTGGAGTATTTTATCCATGATCATTCTCCACGTGTCCCTCACTTTTGATCACTTTCACCATGAGATAGGATTATAAGATACAGTGAGGTGTTAAAGTGAAATGTTTAGGAAAAACACATTTCATGCCATGTGACACCTTGAAAGAACAACAGCTTTAATCCTTCCCACCAGACCTGGCCCATGTAAAACTAAGCTGCTTAGGTGTTCCTGGAAGAATGAGGCAGATCAGAGTAATCTGGAAGCCTCCCCATTATCCTTTGGTCTGTCAAATGCTCAGGGCCCCTCAGCAGGTGACCGTGACTCATCCTACTTGATCCTTTTTTGGAATCAACCCTAATTGCTTTGCCTCTGTTCTCTTTGCCAGAGAAAGCATTTTTTTTTTTCCCTTGGAAAGGGTTCATCTTACTGCTTGACAAATAAAGTAGTTGCTTCATACTCTCTGGTGGGTGAAATACCTTCATTGCTCTGCTGTCTGGGAAAAGCTAGACATTTTAAGGGCCTGAATAAAAATCTCAGAAAGGGATCCTTTAAACTTATTAAAAAAAAAAAAGATCTCCAGTGTTAGAAGTCAGGGGCTACCTAAGACTGAAAAAAAGGGCATCTAAATGGAAATGTACCTTACTGAAAAGGCTAGGCCCAAGTCAAATGGCTAATCCTCAGAAAATGTTTACTCTTTGTAAGTTTAGAGTGGGAATTCTTAACTTTTTTTGTGTTATAGAACCCTTAGGAAATCTGGTGAGGCATATGGACTGCTTCAAAAACTACAACTACTACTACTACCACCACCAATGTCACTACTATTACTACTACTACCACCACTACCACCAATGTCACTACTATTACAACTACTACTACCACTACTACCAATGTAACTACTATTACTACTACTACTACTACTCCTACTACTACTACCACCACCACCACCACCACCACCACTACTGCTGCTGCTACAGCTTACTATATGTCAGGCACTGTGCTAAGCACTTTATAATTATCATCTCATTTAATGCTTACAATTACCCTGAAAGATAGGTGCTATTACCTGCACTTTACAGATGAGGAACCCGAGGCAAACAGAGGTTAAGCAGCTTGCCCAGGCTCACAAAGTTCCCCATCTGGCTGCTCAATTTATTCTTAGAATAACATTTTTAAATGCACAAAATAGAATGCATAAGACTGCAAAGGAAAATAATTATATTGACATATAGCTATCAAAATATGAAAAAGTTCAAAGACCCTAGGCTAAGAACCCCTTGTTTAGTGACGACAACAACTGAACCTGGTATTGTTTTTAAAATGAGGACTTTACCGAGTTGCACAGGTCTCTGAAAGTATCTTGTCAATATTCCTTGTCAAATATGAAAAAACTTACAAGTATTTAGGTACCAGCTACCTCTGTCTGAACCCGGGAAGGTTGAGCCTGGAGGAGAGACGCCTCCCCATGCCATGATAGCTGTCTCTAAGGATCAGAAGGACTAGCATGGAATAAAAGGATTAGGCTTATTCTGCTTGGTCTCAGAGGACTGAACCAGGATTTTTGTTTGGGGGCCTGGAAGGGGGGGGGTCATGGGCCAAAGGACCCAGTGAGAACATGGAACCTCAGAGCCCCAGGTGAGCTAAGGGGGCGGGGCGCCCAGACCTCACTCCATCCTTGGCCATCACTGGAGATCTTCAAATAGATACTAGAGGACCCTTTGTTGGGTAGGCCTCAATGGGAACGTTTTTTCAAGTGCGACTAGAACGCTCCTGAGGTCTCTTTAATCTTGAAATTCTACACTAGCATGAGTGCACCCACCAGAAGACTCCCAGGTTGTTTTTTTTTGGTACTCCCTCTAACTTCAGGCCCCCCGAGACAACAGCTAAGCCTAGATACTCCATCAAGACTTTCATTTGGATAGTGAAGGTTGGCTGGTTGGTTCTTTTCTTCTCTCCCTCCGTCCCCCTTTCTTCCTTCCTTTCTCCCCTCTCTCCCTTCCCTCCTCCCTTCCAAAATATGAAGTCATCCACCACTTACTGCTCTTTGATTTTATTTGCGGCATTCCTCCCAACATCCTTCGTGTGGGCCTGCGCTTTGCACCCATGCCAAAGGTACATGAGGGCTTTATTGACACTGAGAACAATCATGGAAGTCCTGGATCTCAGGCTGCTACAGTGGCAGGCAACTTCAAGTAAATTCCCTTCAATGGGAACTTCTCCTCGAACACAGTACAATCTCCAGTCACCTGTAAGGGACGCCATCAGTACAGAGTTAGCTCTAGCAAAGTAATGAGTCCCAGTCCAACCCCCTATGCCAGTGGGTGAGCAGATATAACCATGGGCCAAGGATGGAGTGAGGTCTGGGCGCCCCGCCCCCTTAGCTCACCTGGGGCTCTGAGGTTCTATGTTCTCACTGGGTCGTTTGGCCCATGACCCCCCCCCTTCCAGGCCCCCAAACAAAAAGCCACAAAACAGAGAAACTCTCCTCATCCAAAAATGTTTAAAGATACAGTCTAATATATTAGAAGTTAAAAAAAAAGTGCCTAAAAACTAGACGTAAAGAAAGTAGAATGAAATGAACTCCCATAGTTGTTGTTGGGTTTTTTCAGGGGAGGGGAGTGAGGGAGCTCTAAAAAGGTAAAGTCCATGGGGCACAGTCATTTCCTCTGTGTCATGGAGCCCATCCCCATACTCCATCTTCCCACCTCTCACATTCCGAGTCTAATTCTGAAGCAAACTACCAGGAGCATGGCAAGCTCCCCGCAAAGCAGATTTTAAAGTCAAATATTACGAGGCTTTCCATGGCAGAGCCACGGCTAGGCAGGGTGTCCCAAAATTCTTTGGGCAGTTTTAAGCTTTAATAGCTTAAGACTTAGTCTCTCTTTCTTATAAAAATACCTTCCAAGAGGAAAAAAAAACCCGATTTCTAGCAGTAAAAATGATTTACTTTGTGCATTTTCTTCTTCTTCTTCTCGCTTCCCTGCGTGTACAACCATTCCTCCTTGGAAGCATTGCAGAAAACATGGAGGCTCCTTTCCCTGAAGCACTTGAACCTGAAAATTTAAACAAATTCTTTTAAAAAGCACTCAATAATAATTAGAATGACTGACTGCTAATTTTAACAATTTGGGGAAAAAACGTTTCTGTATTCATCACTCCAGAGGCCTGCTTACAACCATGTGTCATCCACATACTTGTTAATGCAGTCCCTTCGATCAGGCATTAGCAGTACCATATATAATGTTCAGCTTGAGTCAGTTCATTCATAATTTTTGGCAAGACTCTGCACGCTAAAGGAGAAAATTGTTTATTGAGCCTGGGGGCCTAAGAGCCCTAAGATGGAGGAAGCATTTCTCACTCTCAGGTGGTTTATCAATTGCTTGCACCATTTTGCATAATCTACTGCTATTCCATGGCAGTATTTAATATATCTGAAGTCTGATTCCCAATTCACGTAATTTATCAAAAACCAACACCCCAACTACATTTCCACATTCAAAATTAAAAAAAAAAGGTTAAAATGATGAAGCTGGGGGCCTAGGTAAAATATCCAGTTCTCTTTGTCCCCCATACTAATCACTAGCATCATCATAGCTGACATTGAAGGCTTGTAAATCGCTTTACATACATTATCTCATTTAATCCTCACAGTAGTCTGATCATAAATACAGCTACTCTTTAAAAACTACGACCAAAACCCTCCAGTGCAGGGAATGCATTCAAATGCAAACCCCTGCTAGAAACTATTTTTCACATACATTTTCACAGTGGAAAATTCTCATCATTTTCAACTCTCAGGGCGCTATGCCTCGCACATATGACTGCTGTAATTTAATGACAGTTAGGAAGGATATTCTTGGATAGATCTCAAGTCTTTGGAAGACTAGATGTGTTTGCTAATCTACCTTGGAGGAAAAGACCTCTCCCCTCCTTCTTCCCAGAAATGCCCTTTGCTTGGCTACACATCCTTGACAGAAAAGGCATTTGTTTTGTGGTTTCCAATATATAGGATCCATTCTTTTTTTTTTTTTTTTTTCAAACTAAGCACTAATGGATTGGAGCAAAATTGTGGCGATTCCAAAGGGCGTTTAGATTTGACTTTGCAATATATCCTATGACCGAGGTCCCTTCCAGCTCTAGTTTTATGATCCTATTTTGGAACCTGATTTACTTCTCCAGTTATGTTGATAATAGAAAATATGAAAAACTAATTTGTAATCTTGGATCAAACATGGATGGAGTGATGAGAATATCAGCTTTACATATTGCTTTAAGCATCTGGTTTGATCCTCCCAAGGTGCTACTCTTCTCCCCATTTTAGAGATGAGAAAATTGAGCCAAAGAGAGGTTAAGTCATATAGCTAGTAAGTGTCTCGGGGGGTGGAGGGTGGGACTGAATGCTAAGTCTCTGTCCACTACACTGCCTTACCACAATGATATGTCAGTAGAAGAGAGAGGAAGCCTGAAGTATTAGCTGACAATGTGGAGAAGCCTGGGATTGTGGAGAGGTCTGGGACTGAAACCAGGCAATGGATCACCATCAAGTTAACAAGCACTTATTGAGCCTGTATCATGTGCCGGGACTGCGCTAACCCTGAGACAGCTAACCTAGCTAATCACTGGGATATCCCAGGTAGGCTACGGGCAGTTGGTATTTTTGGCAGACCCTCGAGGAGGGTGGTGCCTTCGGATTCCAGGGTATTCATAAGGAGGAGGGGAAGGAGGAGGGTAGAAGGGAAAAGGAACATTTCACATTGCACGTTAGTACCAGGGTAGAAATTGTCCCCTGGGGGCTCACCTGGGCCCCCCTCTCTTCATCCAGCTCCACAGTCATCAGCGCCGACGTGCCTTTCTCACTCACGGTCGAATGTCTGCCCTGCCAGAAAAAGTAGACACACTTCTCCTTGCCAGCTGTCCTGACTGCGTGCTCACCCTTCTGCCGACTCCCAACTGCAAACACACAGAGCAGCAGAGGTTCAGGTACTTAGCTGACAACCGGGGAGATAAGAGCAAATCAATCGCCTCCATCTCCAGAGACACGAACTGATGACAAACAGGGTGAAAACAGCCTTCTGGCCTAGGGCTGAGGAGAATTTATTGGCAACTGGAGGGAACCGTCTTTATGCCCAAGAGAGAGTATAAATCATAGTATGAAAAAAAAAAGCACCTCACTTCTTGCTAAGTCACCCAGAGCCTCTCAACCCACGAAAAACGATCTGTATGGCTTTCCTAATACCCAAAGAAAAATACCTGGCATCACTTGAGGGAATCAGTGTGCATGTTCAAAATCAAAGCTCTTACCATGGCACTCGTACTGTCCAAATACACAGTCTTTCACCACATTACACCCCTCTGGCACAAGATTAGTTAGCATCTGAGTAACACGGGGAAGGACAATAGCTGGGATGGTTAGAAGCTCAAAGGAACATTATTTATCCTGTAAAGATGATACTAAAAAAAGCAAAAACCGGAAGAAGTTTCCAAGTTCTGACCAAATGGGAACAGTTATATTGCCAATGCAATGATTTCATTAAAAGATCTGGAATTCCTTCCTTTATAATAAGGTGATTTAAAAAAAATACATAAAGCAGCATTGAACCATTCATTTGAAATGGCAGTCATTAAAACTTCACCAGTCAACGGTTCATTTTAGTAAAAGGCTACTGAGATCATATATATCAGCATTTCAGGCCTCCAGACACCTCATTTTAATGAGATCTTTAACTGTGCCTTCCTTCTCCTTGGTGACACAGCTTCTTCCACTCTCTTATCCAAGTTCCAGTCCCTGACAATGGGGCGCGCGCGCGCGTGCGTGCGTGCATGTGTGTGTGTGTGTGTGTGTGTGTGTGTGTGCGTGTGTGTGTGTGTGGTGGGGACTGGGAAAGGAGGAGGAAGAAAGGACAGCTCAGGCTGAACACCCCCCCCCCAACCTGGAGTTCTCTTCTTTCTCATCCCTGCATCTTGGATACCGTGGCTCTCTCCCTCTGTACTTCCTACAATGGCCTTTCCAGATTTCCTCAACCACTGCCCCCTCACCCTAACACTGTATTTATTTTGTGCCTATCCTATTTTTACTTATTGCTGGACACATAATCTCCCCAGTAGAATGTAGGCTTCTCCAGGGCAGGCACCATCACTTTTGTATCTGAATCTCTAATGTCTAGCAAAGTTCTTGGCAAATACAAGGTACACAATTAATATTTGCTGATCGAGGGATTGACTGGTAAATGGTGGAGGTGAGAAAATGATTGCATCTGTGTGTTTCCATTATAAAACCAACAGCAATAATTTGCATGCTCTCTTTTTGCATTATCTATAATTTTTCCCTCTAATCAAATGCTTAAAGTAATAGTTAAGTGGACTATCTCTGTTGAGTTTTGAGGGAGAAAGGGAAGATAAGTCCCACTTTACCGTAAGCTCCTAGAAAGCAGGTGTCACAAGGGCCATCTGCAAAATGGTGCTTCATAAATGATCCGAATGAGGCTTTCTCAGAGCACTTCAAGCATGAATGAAAAATTAGTTAGTGCCAAATATCAAGAATCATCAAAGGGGAATATGTCGATTTTTGTAGGCCAGATGAAACAAACAACCCAGCAAGGAGCTGACAAGACATATGGCAAACTCTCAATAACCTGTACTTCAATTGTTTGTCATTTCTGAATGGTTGGACGGGGCTGTGCTAAAGTTTACTTAGCAAATTGCTTCTTTATAAAGTAGGAAAATTGAGAATGTGTCAACAATACCTATGAGAGGGTGTTCAAAATATCATGACTTTTCAGTCAACTTCAAAAAACCTTCGAGAAGTAGCTACATTATCATCATCTTCATCATCGTAAATATCTCTCATGTCAATAGTTCTTTAAGTGGCTCACATTTCTATAGAATTTCAGGTTTTACAAAGGCCTCTCCTCCTCAATTCTCTGTGAGATGGGTGGGTCAAGCTTTATTATCTGCATTTTATAGACGAAGAGACAAAAACTCTAAAAGAGAGCTAAGTGACTTGCCCCAGTTTACAGGGCAAATACAGAAATATTTGGGAGGGCAACCTACATCCTCAGACTTCAAATTTAAGGCTCCTTTCACTATATGTAATACAAGGGCATTATGCACAGGAATAGTTGATTTGCTAAGTAGGAAGAGTGTTGGGCTTGGAATCAGGAGAGACCGAGTTCTATGTTTCTACAAGTTCAATGACTATGGCAAGTCACTTAAGCTCTGTAAACCTCAGTTTCCTCATCTGAGAAATAGATAGTACCTTACCTCGTAGGGTTGCTGTGGGGATCAAATGAAGTCTAGTTATGTTTCAAAATGGTGAGGCACTCCATAAATGCCAGCTACTACTTGGAGGAAGCCTGGCAGAGTGGGCATTTGGTGGTCATTGGATTTGATCTCAGGAATATCTAGATTCCAAGCCTTCCTCTAATGCTTATTATCTGGGTAACCATGGGCAAGTCAGCTTCACTAGGCTTATCTATAGAATAGAGATGTTGATACCCAAAGGACTTATATCTCACAGAGCCTCAAAGGAGACAAATGATGTATAGCACCTTTGCAAACCTCAAAGCACTATGTGAATGTCTATTATTATTATTGTTATTGTTAATCAATTAAAGTGTTTTTTTTAGGACTACTACTAAATGATAACTGATTAGTCTAGTTTGAGCTGCTGAAATAAAGCCACATTAAAAGAAACAGATTCCATAATTCAGAATTTTCAGTACTTCCGCTAAATTGGTTCTATGTCAACACAGCCAAACTTAGACCTCAGTGTGAATTTACCCCGATGGTTGTATTTAACTATTTCTGATTTTATCAAATTCTTCAAAGGCCTAATCAAAAGCAGACCTCCAGCATGCCAAGCAGATCCTTTATGACAGATTTCTAGGATGACAGGAACCCTTGGAAAGGAGCACGAATGAGACTGATTCAATGTAGGGCACCCCCAGAAGGAGTACCCTCATGGATGAAATCACAGCTCCAATGGAGGATTTAAGTACTGAGCAAAATTAAATTTTAAAGGTTTTTTTTTAAATTAGGAAGTTATAATAATAACAATGTCTTCCATTTCTTTTTTTTTTTTAAATTGCTTCTATTTCTTTAGCACTTTAGGATTCAAAAAGAGCTATTTCCTACAATCAATCCTGTGAGGTAGGCAGGCTAAGTAATATTATCCTCATTTTATAGATAAGAAAATTGAGGCTCAGAAAGGCAAAATGTCTTCTTGTCCATGATGATAATCACAGTGCTGGGAAGTGTGTCAGGGCCAAAATTAAAGCTTAGGTCTCCTAATTCCAAGTCCAGCAATTTTCCTATGGCATCTAGTGACTTATTTCTCTTTAATCTACACAGTTGACCAACTCTTAAGAGTTTCAAAAAGGCTCAGATTGAAGTGAAAAACAGTGACTAGTAGTTTGAGTTATCCAAAGGGGAAAGGGGCTGCCTCAGGATAAAGTGAGTTCCCCCTTCCCAAAGGTCATCGGGGTATGTGGAGAGTGTCTTCAGTGAAGTAGGAATTGGTCTTGAAGGTCCCTTCAGCTCTCCAACTCCATGACTTTATGGAAGTTCAGGGATACCATGGACAACATTCTTAGGTATGGTCTGGAAATGAGATAGCTTTTGAAGTCCCTTCCCACTCTGTGAGTCTCTGATTATACCAACGCTATCAAGAACTCTAGGTCAATCTCTTTGGCAACGATCACATGTGTACTTGCATGCTAAGAGCATGGTCAATCCTTATTAGATTTCAAGCAATGACAAAATCCTTCCAAGTCATCACATGCATTGTCAAGATGTCCTCTGGGAAGTGTGTTTGATAATAATGGTGGAAAAATGGAAGCACCATGAAAAGATCATGAATTACCTCCCTGGGTCAACCAGTCAGGGATAGCTCAGATCTCATAACTATTAGGTGTTGTTCTACCCTACTGTGGTTCGATCACATCTGGGCTCCTCTGTACTATGTTCAGTTCCGGATGGCATGTTTTAGGAAGGCCCCTGACAAACTGGAATTCTATCCACAAAAGGGTCACCAGGGACTGCAGAACACTCTAGAAGGTCAGTTTAAAGAAACTTAAAGGCACACACACACCACCTAAAAACGAGAAGTGCAACAAACAGAAGCGTTTAGTCTGGAGAAGACTTGGGAAGGGAGAGAGGGCACATGCTTGCTGTCTAAAAATACTTGAAGGATTATTGCACAAAAGAGGAATTGGATTTATTCTGCTTAGCCCCAGAGGTCAGAATGAGGAACATTGGGTAGTAGATGCAGAGAAGCAGATTTAGTTTCCTGCTTCCAAGCATGATGGACCTTTGAGGGAATGGTGGGTTCCGTTTCCTTATAGGTCTTCGAGGGGAGGTAGATGACCGCTTATCAGGGATATCAGAGAGCACGGGGTTGGTGAATTTGTTTTAAAATATATTTTGACAACTGTACTTTTCAAAATAATTGGTTTCCTCTGTAATTCTTTGTATGTTATTTTATGCATTTAAAAACATCTTGAGAATGGTTCCCTAAGCTTCTCACCAAACTGCACAAAGGAATACAGTAGAAAAAAAAAAAGGTTGGCGTCTTCCCCCGCCCCCCCCCCCGCCCCCCAGTGTAACAGAAATTCCTGTTCAGGGATGGTGCCTGAAGTTTCTTCTCAGGCCTGAAATGCTTTAATTGTCTTCTACTGCTCCATTTGACCACCTTCTACCTTGCTGGAGCAAGGGTCACATCATCCCTTGGAGGAACCTAATGTCAGCTGTATTTTTTTGCTATAAATTTCACTTAGTAAAAGAATACCATTCCCCTGGATCCCCTTGAAGAGAATATTGGGCTTCAAATCAAGCACTTGTGGCACTGAGACGACTATCTAATTACATCTTCTCTTACCCCCTCAGGTCACAATGGCTTGTCTCTTGTGCAGCCTGGCCAGTATCAGCAAACATAGCTGGGATGGGGTGGGGGGAACTGTCCCCACAGCTGCTGTTTTCTGCTGACCCCTGCAGAATCCTGCTCTCCTAGAAGGTGCTACAATGGAGGGCTATATTTCTAGAACCACCTCCAGCTGCCTCCCTGTGGGGGTCTGTCACCTTTTGGACCAATCAACAGAGTCATTCCAGTGAACCAGGGTTCCCCTGTTGGTGAAATAGTCTGCAAATGCCATACGGTTGTGTTTTGCTGTCCCCCAAAGGCACTTTTGGAAATCCGGATGCTTCCTGTTCCAATTGAATTCTCTAGCACCTGGACATTTTCAAAGTTGTTTACTGCTTTGCAAAAGTGTTTCCAGACCTTGCCCTTTAATAGATGGACATTTGGTCCATTGAGAGGTGATTAAAAAAAAAGTTCTGGGGTGGAGCAGGTGGGGCAGTCAGTACAGTTTCATGTTGGCCCCCAGCTAAATTGCTCTGATGGTCTATTGTTACGCTGGAGGTCTTAGCTCCTTTTCCTCACTTGTCTCTTCTGCTTGTTCAAATCTATACCGGGTAAGAGAATCACTATACATCTACTTGCATATTGCCCATTTATTCCTTTGTCAAGCGACCCATCTACACTTGTATTTTACGTGTAGCTTATATCTGAGGTTTATGCATTTGAGTGGTGTTCTGTAGTTTCCTCATGCAACATACATTTCCATGAGTCAACTGTTACCTTCAAATTTCCTGTTTTCTTTCTCTTTCGCCTACCAGCACAGAGCATAATCTAAGATGAATCTCTATTTGGATAAGGGTTTGTTTATTCTGCTTAGCACCAGTCAGAGCTGATGGGTTTTCAACAGCTGTCAATGGGTCCCCCAAGGCCCATCTGGCCTAAGAAAGAAGGACATGTTTCTCTGAAGATGAACAGGTTTCTGTATACAGGCTGTAAGGAATAAGTTACTAGAAATCACATTGCCAACTTGCAGGACCTGAGATTACATAGAACTCAAGCCTAATCTCTCTTAAGTAAATTGGTCAAGTGAAATTATGTGCTTTGAAATCAATGGGAGAGAGGCATCATATCCACATTTCTTCCTTTTCATCCTCCTAGCTCTCAGATTTCTGTTTTGGTGAGTGCTTGGGGAATTTTTAGATATTTCACTTTAGCTTTTCATTTAGATATGTCAAGTAGAGAGACCAAAATGGCAATATTTGAGGTGACATAAAGAGATTTAATCTTTAGTTCATAAAGTTCTAAGCTTGATTTTGTAACTACAGCTTTTTACTGAAGCTTCTCAAAAAATTACTGACAGATATATTCTTGCAGACCATGTCAACTAAGTAAATCCAGTCATTGTACACAGATTAAATGACACCTAACTCCAAATAAAAGTACCCCCAAAGAGAAGATTTGAGGTAGGCCTCGTTCCCTATTGCTACTTCTAGAACATTCCCTTCACTCCTTCCCTCAATCACTTTTCTTCCTCTCAAGTCTGGGCAATCCATTTAGAACCCCTTCTCTCCATATTGTTGCTAAGATCTACACATTTCCAGGTCCTTATGCCAACTCTCTTCCTCTGACCCCTGGACCTCAAGACTTTCTCTCCACCCCAATACCTGCCACCATCATCATTGCTAGAGAAAGGCATGAAATCAAGCACCTTTTAACCACCATGAATTGATGTCACAGCATAGTGGACAGAGAACTGACCTCAGAGTCAGGATGACTTGGGTTCACATACCACCTGTGATGCATACTGGCTGTGCACCTTAAGCACTTACCTTCTCAGTTCCCTCAAATCTCTAAGACTCCAAGCTGAAGATTCAAATGAGTAGAAGATATTTTCTTTCTCACTGGGAACCTCCCTACAATGATGAAATGACAGGTCTGGGGGGAATCAATAAATCCATTCATAACTTCGGCGGCACCTTCTCAGATGCCCTACAATCATCTTCAGGCCACCCGACACCACCTCCTTCAACTCTCTGGTTCTGAGCTTTTCAGCAGCGGCAGCATCCATTCTTTCCTCCTTCCCTTCCCTCTCAGAAAGAGCACTCTTTCTCTCTCTCTCTCTCTCTCTCTCTCTCTCTCTCTCTCTCTCTCTCTGGTACAACTATAGCTTCCTCAGGCTAACTCACTTCAATCTGTGCTTTAAGATCCAATCCTGTCCTGTCTCCTTCCAGCCCTTGCTACTGTAACCATCTCCATTTTTAGGTAACCCTCAACTTCTCTCTCTCTTGGCTTCTTCCTTTCTGCCAGAAAACATTCTCCAGCTCAAATGAGGTGGTATTTGTAAAGCACTTAGCACAGTGCTTGGCACACAGTAGGCACTTAATAAATGCCTGTTCCCTTATTCCCTCCAAGTCTCTCCAATCTTTAATGCTCTTTGCCTCTCTATTCCACTCAGGTACTAATTTCCTATTTCTCATTTTTCCTTCATTATAGAACTTCTTGAAAAAGCGGTCGATGCCCAGGATTGCCACTTCTTCGCCAATCGTTCTCTCCTCAGAAAGTCACTCATGGATTCTGTCACCCCCTTGCTCTGTTTAGACTGTTCTTTTGAGGTAACCAAAGAGCCAGCCCTGAAGGGTCACATCCACTGCCCTTTGTTTGGTGCTCATCCTTCTCGACTTCTCTGACACATTTTGACACGGTTGATTCATGCCCTGCTTGTGGGTACTCCCTTCTCCTTTGGCTTCAGAGATACCATCCCGCTGCCCTGACGGGACTTCTACCTAACTGCTCTTCTTCTGTCCTTGCTGGTTCCTTCTCGCCTTCTCGACGCTCTGAGGTCCTCTACAATCTGGTACCACCCTATCCTTTCTATATACTCCCCATTACGCCCTTCCACTCATTCTTTACTACAACCAGATCTGACTTCTCTTTGCCCTAAGAATGTGCCCGATACTCTCCCTGTATGTCTACACTTTTTCTCTTACTCTTCCTAAGCCTGGAATGTCTTCTCTTGTCTGTCTATTTAATTCCTACCCAGTTCGACCCAACTGCCACCTCTTCCATGAAGCTTTTCTTCATCATTCCCTCTGCCACTTCACCCCGGTTAGTAATGACCTTCTCACCTTAGACCTCACATAGCAATCTGTTTCATACTTCTTTAACGCACACATATCACGTGGTATTGTGCATTATAGCTATCTGTGGTGGCGTCTCATTCCTCTACTAGACTGTAAGCACCATGAGGGCAAGGACTACACGTCTTATCTAAACTTTGTATTTCTTCCAGTAGCTGGCCCAGGTGCTGAACACAGGAGGTGTTTAACACATATTTCTATTGAATGAAAGAAATAAGGATGAGGAAAGATGATAAAAGTTTCAAGTCATTGCTTCTGATGACACAGAAAAATAATTCTATCAAGAGTCCCATGAAGGGCTCCTTTTTACAGGTCTCCTTTTTCTCTCTTCTTCGCTGGTAGAAATAGAATGTAACCTTTTGTATAGGAATTGTTATATGGACAGCGGCCTGTGAGAAGTTTGGCTATAAAAGCAAGCAGTGACGCACAGTGGTTAGAATGCTGGGCTTGAAATCAGGACAACTGGGGTTCAAATCTGGCTGTTAAGGCTTATTAGCTAGGTGACCATGAGCAAGTTACTTAACTCTCTGAGCCTTAGCTTCCTTAGCTGTAAAATGGGGATAATATGTATAGAACCAATACCTCATGGGGTTATTGTGAGATTCAAGTGAGATAATGTACATTAAAAATTTTGCCAACTTTAACTTGCTGGATAAATGTAGGCAATCATTGTTGCAAAAGTATCTATTTAACCAAACCAATGAAATACTGTTACTATGCCTCATCCTCTGAGAAAGGAAAATAGCACTATTATAAAGCCTTTTTATAATAATGAGAATAAAGCAGGTTGGAAGTTATCATTAGGTTTGTATGTATAATCCTATATAAGCATGTAATGATCCCAAGGCTTGTTCACATATATTATATTATTTGTTCCCTACAACCTTAAAAGTGAGGTAGTGAAAGTACTGTTTCTATTTTATAGATGGGGAAACTGAGGCTTGGAGAATCTGAGGGAGTTGCCCAACATCACACAGCTGGGAAATAGTGGAGTCAGGACTTGAATGCAGTCCCTGGGATCCAAATCCAGTGCTTTCTTTCCCATCCTCATGCAGTCTTCCTCTGCCACACTGCCTTGCTCGTAGTACGGTTTCGATTTAAAATTACTTGAATTTGGTTTATCCAATTATGCTCTAAAATCTTTCCAGTAACTAATATGTAGCCACAAAATAAAACTCACAGATATATAATTTAAACACATATATAGAAAACCAGTGTTAAACAGAAAAAAAAGGGAGAGGCAAATATACAAGCTGAATTCTGTTTAAAGAGGGGTTTTGGAAAAAGATCATTGACTGTGCCAAGCTGGTGGGAATTTCTCCTCTTCTACTCTTAAGAGGTAAGGGAATGGCCCTCTAAATGCATGGTAAGATTGTTACCTGGTACCTGCCCAGCTGGGAATAAGACATCACACAAATAAGAAAATTTCACAGCAAAAAGTGCTGTTTGCAAAGTCAGTGTTGCAGCTAGGGGATTATTAGCTTGATCAAGATGAAAGAATTCACTAACCTGCAGTGCTCACCATGTACTTCCATTTCACCACATACGTGTCTCCCTCATGGAACTGCCCAATGCTCTGTTTGGGGAGCCTACTGTAGTCAAATTCCAAGATGTGCCAAACGTCCACAGAAACACTAGCAATCTCAAATTGCCTCTGGTCATCCCCTTCAATAAGTCCGTAGCCACGGCCAATATTGACTCCATCCAAGATGGTGCCGACAGTCACTTGGGGCACCGGCACCATCAGCATTACATCGTAGGCCTTAACCTCAGACCTAGACTCTTCCTGCAAGAGAACAGAGACATTCCTTTTCCTTTACCCATATTTCTACAGAAAGTTCTCCTGTCACACTCAGTACCATTTCATCTATTCTTATGCCAGTGTCTGGAGACATTTTCACACTTCATCCCGATATATTTCTTGTGTTACTTTGGCTTTTAATGGGGAGAAGCTTGGAGATGCAACATACCAAAGTGCAGAGAGGCAAAGCTCATGAAGTAGTTTCCTTATTATCAAGCTGGGAGGGCCCAGGAAGGAAACAGATTTCATCGCTTGGAATCCGTACATAGTTAGAAGCCACTCTACAATTCTACAAGGAGAGCCTGAGGGGGAACATTTTTAGCTTCAGTGACCTCCCTTTGGGGGGAATAAACACCACCCCAAATGCCAAATGAGGACAAATGGAATACCTTCTGTGGGGTGAGCTCACTGGAGTTCTTTTCACAAGGCTTCTTCATTTCAGTCCAATCAAGAAATTTTTCTTTGAAGAGAATAGTCTCATTGTGCTCAGTGAGTCTTCCAAATATTGCCCAATCAGGCCGCCCTTGTCCTTTTCTGTGTATGAAAGACAAATAAGGATGAGATGGGAGCAGAGGGGGAGAAGGGAGGAGGGGGGGGGGCAGAGAGAGAGAGAAAGAGAAAGGAGAGAGAGAGAAGGAGGGAGGAAAGAGAAGGGGGGGAGAGAGACAGACAGAGAGAAAGAAAATGTGTGGGGGAGAGAGAGAGAGAGAGAGACAGAGAAGGGGGAAGAAAGAGGGAGGAAGAGAGGGAGAGAGACATACACACACAGAGAAGGACAGAGAGCGCACACTAATATTTATTTTTAATACAAATCAATAAAGTCCCCACACTAATAACACAACTTGGATAATAAGAGCAGCAAATCCCACACACAAGAACATTTTAAGTACATGTTTTCAAGACTCAGTTCTACAAAATAGGAATTTGCTAATATGACACAGGAGCTCAGCTACAATGCTGAACTTTGGAGTTTCTATGAAACAGTGACCATGTGAAAGGCAGATTTCTCTGTACTTCCAGGAAGGGGTTCCTTTGGTTGAAACCTAAAAAGAGATCCAGTTTCTGATGAATTCCATGTTCTATGGCATTGTAGTTTAGGGACTCTCCAGGTCCTTCCTTGTAGCTCTAATGCAGTCTATTTTCATATTTTACAAAATGGACTTTTATGGATTGAAATATTAATTTCAAAGGCCACAAGAAAGGCAATTTGAGACAACAGGAACAGATAGCAAAACTAAAAGAAAAGCAAGATGAATGTGAACTTGGAACAATCATAACTTTCTTTGCATTTTAGAATCTGTCTTTCTTTACCTTCTTGCCCTAACATGGAAAAAAGTCAGGTTGGGAAAATAAGCACTAAAGCTCTCTTGAAAGTAGTTATTTTCCCAGTCTGACTCTTCCAGGGCAAGGTAGAGAAAGGATTGAAGTAAGATGTGGTGATGTACACACTAGGGGATTTTCATGGCATAATCAATGACCAGGCTTTAAAGAATTAGAAATTATAGATATTTCAATTATAGATATTTTTAATTCTTCAAAGCCAGGTCTTTGGTTATTGGAAAAGATTGAGCACTTCACTATGTCTGTCTTCAATCCTTTGAAAGATCTGGGATTTCATCAGTGTGGGCCCTGACTCCACTGTCCCAGATCTTAAACCCTTTACATCTTGGTAGATGGTTGCATGAGTTGCCATAGGCATTAATAACCTGATGGCCAAGCTTCTGGTAATGAGCTTCTCTGTCCTTAGCTAGCCTGACTTCTCACAACAGGTATTTAACCTATTTCTGGGCCCATACTCTACAGACTTTCCAGCTTGGAAAGTCCTATCAGATCTTATTTTCCTTTGGAATGGCCTTTGAAAACCTAGAGTTTCTAATTTGCATGACTTCACATGTATAACTGATATCATATTGCTTGCTTTCTTGATGGATGGGGGAAGGATGGGAGAAAGGGAAAGAATTTGGAACTCAATAATTAAGAAAAAAGAACTATTTTAAAAAAAGAAAGAAAACCTAGAGTCAACTCCCAGGCATAATAATGATCCATTGGAGTAGGACTTAAGGAGACATCACTGATCCCAATGGTCTGTTTCAGATGTCTCCTGTCAGTACTGTGACCCATGTAGCATGATCAGTTGCCATTTGTTTTTGAACTGAGTTTTCACATTCTTAGTGGATGGCAGAGACAAATCAAGGTCATCACCTGGGAAAAGAAGTCTTCAGAAGGAACCATAACTCAGGTGTATGGGCAAAAACAAAATGCTGTGAAGGGCTGTGCTTTTTCATTGTGGTGTGGTGGTGTGGTGGTGTCCTTTAAATCGGGTATGCTCTGCAGGCTTGTTAGGTTGGCTTACTTCTTAAGAGTAAGTGGCAAAGTGCTTTCCTAACTTTTATTTTTCAAGGTTCTGTACTTGTAGCAGGGAAGAAATCCTATGGTATAGTAGAATGGTCCATTATCAGGAAAGAAACCAGGTTTCAGTCTCAGGTGTGCCAATAATTAGATCTATAACTTGGGGCAAGTCACTTAATTTCCCTGAGCCTTAGCTTCCCCATTCATCCAATGAAAGATATTTACTTATATGATTTTTAAAAGTCTCTTCTAAAATTAAAATGATGTCACTATAATGGAAAATTCGAGGTTAATTTTATTTTTAATTATGCACACAGTTTATAGCCTAGGGGTCTACTTCTTTAATACTCCAAATGCTTTTCCCCATAGGTTTATTGCTTTGGGATACATAAACCATAATTTTTTTTTGTAATACAAATTTTAATCTTTGGGGAAATAAAAATCGCAGTCAGTACATTTCAATTAGCCCTCAATTTGATCCATGGATCATAGCTATAAGGCATCATGTAAGAGCATATAAATAAAGGCAAATTACAGACACATCTGGCACAATTTGCCCTCTTGCTGTTGGGGTGATACCACAAAATGAAGCAGCAAAAATAGAACGGTGAGTAATATATTGTGATGCAAAATATTGCCCTGTGGACCTCCCTGAAATGACCTATGAAAAAGGGAGTCTAGGGAGCAAGAAGTCATTTGAATCACAGACTCAACACGCTAGAAGAGACCCCTGAGACTGTCTAGGCCAATCTTCTTATCTGACAGGGGCCCCAACAATGCAAGGCATGCAAAACAGTGGCAAACAGCCTTGGAGTTAGAGTCTCAGCCAAGTTTAGTTTTTTTCTTTAAAATAAAGTTAAGAGGAGTTAGCAGACTAGGCTAAGAATAGGGTTCCTAGAAGCCTCTTGTTAGTTTACAAAGCAAAAATGGAAATTATATTGGCAAACAACAGGCCCATCACTTATTGTTTATACGCTGATGAATCTATGTGATCTCACTCTCTCTCCTAGTGCAGGTAAGAGCCACTCCATGACTTCTTGAGTGAGACTCATCTGTGGCTTTTCACTATGGAGGATCCTCCCAACGTAACGGAGGCCCATCTCTGGGTGTCTTAATATTGAGCATCTCCAAAAGTCTTAATTTTAGGCTTTATTAGCTTAAAACTACTAAAACCACTAAATTTTAACCCATATTTCACGGATTCCACTGTGGCACTCAAGCTATCCATCGGCTATCTCTCCCTCTTCAGTCATACTGAACTTGATGATGTCCTTTTTGAATGTACTTCTCATGAGCTAGTTAGCAATGGTCACATGCTACAGCCCACTTACAGCTTCCATTACCCTTTGGAAAACCTGAGATTTTGTCTTCTCTAGGATTGGGGTCTTCTATGTATAGTTTCTAGCCATATGGTACCACCAGGAGAAAACTAGGGTGTAAAACCCAAGGAGCAATGCTGGATCACTGAAAGTACTTCAAAGTTCCCCAAATGGTATTTTACCTCATTCTCCTCTTCTTTCTATTTAATTCTGGGCCTCCTGATCATTTTCTGTCCTAGATGGTTTGCTAATTATTGCTCCATGTGTTCACTGTCTTTCTCCAGTGAGGCTGTAAGCATCTGAAAAGCAGGAAGTGTCTACAAGAGCCAGTTTCTTTTCTGCTCCCAGTGCACACTCACTAAACACCTGGTGGTCACTCTGCTGCTCTACCCTCTCTGGACACTTAGCTAGCACTTCTCAGTCCTCTACAAAACTGAGATGCAAATTGCATGGGTAGAAATTATAGTAAATGTCCTGTCCCATGGGAATTTTCTACAGGTTTTCATGTAGAATTCAAAACAAACAAAAATTTGATACTCAAATGATATTCATTAAGGGGGAAAACCTCAATCTTTTGAAGGATGGAGGGAAGCACTGTACTTTTGTTAGATTCTTAGCTCATTGCATACATACCACATGCACTTTCACACATACTTCTCTGGATGCTATATTCAAGAGTACATTTCAGCTTCTAAAGATATAAAATCCTAGACTAAAGTATGAGCTTTAGGAGACAATTTCCCCTTTAACACAATCTGGACAACCAATGGCATAGATGTGTGTTCTGAAAATAAAAAGGACTTTACCACATGCAAGTCTTATTATTATTTTTTTTAATATTAGGTCTAAAATATAAGTAAACGACATTAGTGGAACCCAGGGAAACAGAGACCTAAAAGGCAGTCCCAGCTAAGTATCTATGTTACCTCGGGAAAATTACTTCTGTTGTCTGCGCTCATTTCTAGTGTTCTGATCTAAATTAAAGGGTTGGATAGATCACTAATAACGTCCTTTTCTCCTTTTCCACTGTAATTCCGTGGTTCTAAAGAAATGTTTTCTTCAAGATGGTATAAATCAGCATCATAAGGGAGTAAATAAACTTGGGGAAAGGAGTGATGAGATATGTAACATCTTGAGATAAATAAAAATAATATGTTTAAAAGTAAATTTAATTTTAAATTCTACTAAATTAATTAAAAGTAATATACTGAGATAAATTGTTCTAAGATCAGAGCTAGAATTCTATATATAGAGCAGAAGTTAGTCAGGAGAATGAGGTTGGGAGTCTGACAGCATAAGGCTCAAAGTGGAGTGGGAGTCATATACAGGCCAAGGTTCTTATGAAGCAAAGTTAGGGAAACACTATAGAGTTTGTAATAGCATGGGGTAATCAGTGACTGACAGTGCATCACATTACAACAATCAGGCAAGGATAGTGGCAGTGTCTCAGAGGTGGGGAACCTGTGGCCTTGAGGCCACCTGTGGCCCTCTAGGTCCTCAAGTGCAGCCTGAATCCAGGATTTAGTCAAAGGGCCAGGTCAAATTGGCTAGTCCAAATGGCCTTCGAACGTTCAGTGCTCACCAAGACAGAAAATGTTACCACCATAAAATCAACATAACTCATGGCTGACAGGTCAGTTTGTTACATTGAGGCTTAAGTATCTGGACAAGCCAGGCTCTCTAGGTTTGAAGGCAGAGGGAGTATTGTTAAACTCTTCCCTCCCCACTTTCCTTTTTATTCCATTATCAAGGACGGCTTTCTGAAAAGGGAGAGATGGGAATACATTGAAAGATATAGGTGATCATATCACCTACATAAAAGATATCAGTAAAGATTTTTAAAAAGGGAATTGAAGGGAATTTTGACTTATATTGCCTGGACTTCAGATCAAGAAATCAGAGTCACTGAATCCTGGATGCTGGAACATTTTCTTATCAGATGCATTTAACCAATACTGTTCTCTGACCTTCTTGACAGCTGGAAAGCTGCAGGTGGGAAATGCTGGTTCATTGCAACAAATTGAAAAGAGGTCATTAAACATCTTCCAGAAAACAACGAGAAATTATTGCCTGAGAACAGGATTAGTTTTTAAAACCTCGAAACAATGCTGTCGCATAGTAATCAGGCTGTGATTTGCATACCACCTCATGACCAATTGTGAAAAGGGACTGATGCAGAAAAATGGCGCCCACTCATGACTGCATGCCCCTCTTGAGCCAAGCCACCCTGCTGCCACAGTACCTGGGTATACGAGGATTGCATTCTCCAGGGTCTAAAGGATTTATGTCACAATTGGCATAGTCGAAGGTCCCATTCCACAAGTGTTTTGCCAATTGGAATGCTATTTTTCTCTGTGCTAATGTGACTTCCTTTCCATGCCATACATAAACTTCGCTGCCAAAATCAAACACTAAGACCTGTGAAAACAAAACAAAAGATTATGGCGACCTCTTTAAAGGACTTCCTCACTCAAAGATAAGCAGTCATTTTTACTGTGTGATGAGACATAGTCTGCTGGAACAGTCTAAACAACACCATAACTATTGGGAGCTGCTTTTGTGTGGCTAAGCTTTCTTTCCTCTTCCTTCTGATGTGCTCTCTGTTTCCTTCTGGCTCATCCCTTTACCATGTCCTCACACATTTATAAGTCATCTTCCCTTCCCTCAAACTGGGCTCCTTAACCCCCATTTCTTGTATCATGTTGATGGGTACTTATAGATTCTACCTTCCGTCAGTTATTTCTACTACTCTTTTTTTCTAGATAGAAGCTTGAGGGCAGGGACCAGGTCTTAATTCATCTTTGTATTTGGTAGAAAGGTTAGTTTGATGAATGAATAATGCATAAGTGAGTGAACAAGGAAATAACACGTGAACTGACATCTCTGTTCTATGGGCTTATCCAATTCGTCCCCTTCTGACATTGCATACCGACTTTCATCTTCAAGAACCCAACATTTCTCCTCCTTTTCATACTCCATTCAAGCCACATCTCCTCTTGATCATATTGAGTATTCCACTGTCTAACTCTTAAAGATATCTGCACAGTCAGATCCCAATTAGTGTGAATAATGAATCCCATGAAGTGGTTGTATGTATTTGGATTTGTACTATTTGAAATCACAATTATACAAAATATGGTAATTCATTCTGGCCCAGTGGAAATATGCATTGTGAGTTTGAGTAATGTCACCACTTCACAGGATTCATTATTTGCATTAATCGGGAGCTCACTACACCCTCGCCCTATTAACTGGTCCTTGCTTATACACTGCTTTGCCTTATTCTTTTGCTCTAACTTTTCTATCCCTTTCTTATATTTAAGCTTCTTGAGGGTAGGGACTGTATTCTATGTAGTTTTTGCATGTGCTGGCTAGTCTTAGGTAGAGCTGAGTGCACATTTAATAGATATCTGCTGATGTGAGGGAAAAAAAGCGGAAGTTGACAAATCAAATGGTCATGTTAGAAATTGTGCATATATGCATATGTGCATACACACACACGCACACTCTTATGCACATATACATACACACACACACACACACACACACACACACACACACACACACATCATAGGACATTGAAAGTTGGCCCTGAAGTGAGGAAGAACTTGATTCAAGACACGCAGATCATTTAACCTGTTGCCCTAGGCAACAGTGTTAAGATTATAAATTACAAATAGCTAGCATTTATACAGCGCTTGAAGGTTTATAAAGGGCATTCCACATGTTATCTCACACATTGATCATCATAACAGCCTTATCACCATTTTATAGTCAAGGAAACTGAGGCAGAGAGAGGTTAAGTAATTTGTCCAGGGTCACACAACTAGCAAAACAGGTCTCCAACTGAGGTCTTCCTGATTCCAAGTACAATGCTCTCTATCTACTATGACACCTGTACCAGTGGACATTGTTTCAATACTAAGCTTTTTAAATGGATGAAATCACCGGTATAGCTGCTAATTTCCCAATAAATACATACATACAAAAAATAAATACATATGATAAAACAGATATAAATACATATATATATATATATAATATACATATTGTGCATGTGTATGTATGTGTGTGTGTATAGGTACATATGACACATTTCCTGCAATTTTCTATTGAATAAACATACTTTAGAAAATATTACATAAGACTGATGTTAATAGTCAAACCAGGGGAATGAGCTGACAAATAATTAAGTCTTAGCTGAGTTGGAAAAGGAAAACTATTACTAAACTACTTCCCTGCAAAATAATACTCTTGGTTTCCTCTGCACTGGGTTGACATGGAATGGTTGTTAGAATCCAGAGGAAAACAATTCTTTAAGAAGTTTAAACATGGTTTTAAGAGCTGCCAATATGGCGTACACAAGAGGCCTGCCCAGTGCCACCCCCTGTACCTCTCTTGGCTGCAGAAGGGAACATTTTGGTATTTTGCCCCAGTAGTAGTCATCAGGAACAAGTTTATCTTCCACTAAGCGGTAAACACAATTAGTTTCTGTGATGGCAGTTTCATACAATTCATCTTCTTCTGGATTTCCGGCAGCTGTAGGGAGAACACATCATTGAATGATGAATTTTACATAAGAGTTATTTCAAAGAGGAGTTTGGGAGGATTACTGGGTGGCAGAAGGGGGAGGGGGAGAGAAGGGATTCCAGTCTGGTCAGAGTCTAAAACAGAATTAACACTTACATTGGTAACTCGTCTGGCCACCCAGGAGTTTCCAGAAGTCTTTTGCTGCATGGGTATGCGTATTTATTCCTTCTTCTATGGTCTGAATATAAGTAGCTCTACAGCCGAGTTCTCTCCTCGTCTGAATTAGAGTTGCAAGCTCTGATGCCTAAGAGATTAACATAATTATCCTGATAGAATAGGTCATTCCGATGGGTAATTGTACACACTGAGATCAGACCAAAGGCGAGCGTGTGAAAGGGCAATCTTGAGAGCAGAGAGGCCCTAAGAATGTTGGTCATTTAAAGCTATTTTCACTAAAAACAACAAAAACTAGGGGGAAGTACCAGGTGTCCCAATTCTTTGGATTGATAGGCATGCGTATTTCTCTTTTACAATGGAGTACAGAGGAAACCCTGCAATTCAGAATTCTACCTTTTGGCATGAATGTGCAACATTTTTCTGAGGATGTCCTATTTATCTTAGAGCATTCCAGCTTTCATGCTTCATGGAGAGGATTCAGGGAAATGGAACTTATCTAGCCTTTACTGACTTCATGGGCCACTCTGTGTCCTGGAAACATTCCAATAGTCCTATGAGGGCCGGACAATTCTACCTATATAAAAGAGATGCTTTGTTAGGATACTAACCTTAGCTTTCTCAATGACATTTGCAAACTCTCCTACCCACTGGAAGCAGTAGTGGGGAGTTAACAGTAGAAAGCAATCGCCACCATTCAGCGATGAAGCTCGTGGCTCCACTAATCTCGTCTGCACATTTCTTCTTCCTAAACATGAAATAAAAGTTCATCGTGCCCTCGTAAAGCAATACTGTCTTATGTGACATCTTGCAATTAAAGTATTCCTGATTATAAACATTCCTAGTCTTTTCATTTCCCATTAGTTGGCCTTCCCCACACCCCACTACAGGAGTGGAAACATGATTACATTAAAATGGCAGCCTGGTGGAATTGCAGTTACGCTACATTATGTTCACCTGCGCCTACTGTATCACACACTCATTTTTATGAATATCAGCGTTTCTCCTCCGGAACACTGACAAGAACATCATTTATGGGATGGCACCATTTTCAATGGAGGTGACAGCTCGGGGATGGGGTCCCAAGGGTCTGAGAAGGCACCACAGATTTATTGCACATAGAATCCCAAGCCTCCTGCTCAGAAGTGAACCTTCTCCCTCGATTTGGAAGTTTCTCAGGAACCTCTAAGAAAGCACTGACTTCAATAGGAAGGTCTATTCGAACTTCACCTCCTGCATGCTGTTAGTGGTTTAGCAGAGTCAGGAGCTGCCTCCTCCAGGAAGCCTGCCCCTTGACCCAGCTGAATAGAACTCCCTTCTCAAATCTCTCGAAGCGCCTTGAACTTCTCCTTTCTACTCTGCCTTGAATTACAGTTATGTGAGGAACTACATACTGTTACAGTGTGTAAATTTCTTACTCCTCTTTTTACTTTGTAATATCTTCAAGAGCAAGGACTATGAGATTTTTCTTCTTACCCCAATTGTCTCACATATGATAGGTTTTAAATAAATGTTAAATTTTTAAAAGTGATCAAATCTTAATAAAAAATGGCAAAGATTATGCCAACATGGTTTTGGGGGCATAAACTGAGAAACAGAAGTCCCCAACCAATAGCTGTTACCTGTCATGAAGGAAATCATTCAGGTAAACCAAGGTGATGGTCATTGGGAAGAAAACAACCAAACCACTATGGATAATAACACGATAACAACAATAATAGGGCATAACATATGCTATCTCATACATGCTTAATAAAGGCTTTAGCGTTAGCTAGCTACCTACCTATTTCTAGTAGCTAAAATTTAATGCTTTGTGGTTTGCAAGATGCTCTCCCTACAGTTTATGGGAGATGACTTGGTGTCACAATGGAGAGAGTCTTGGACTTGGTCATGAAGATCTGAATCTGAACTCTAATACTCAAAAGATATTTTAGAGTTTGACCCTGTGCCAAATTGCATAACTTCTTTCTACTTCCAAGTAAGCCACTCTACTCATAGCACCACCCAGCTGCATCATGACATAACCTCTTCTAGACCCCTTTGCAAACCTTCCAGTCCTGTAGAAATTCTAGATACTACTATCATTATCTTATTCTTTCCCTACTTCAACCTGAAAAAAAAAACAGATCTTTGGAATCTTTGGAAGGGATTGGATAAACAGCTCTTTAAGACTTGCAAAATATCGCAAATATATTACGCTATGAGGTCTTCCAATAAAGACTATTTTCTTCGATTATTTCACTACTTCTTAACATAATGTTCTAAGAAGGCTGTAGAGATTTCAGTCCTTCTGATGGAAATACCCCCAATGTACTTCTCAGATTCCACAGTGACTACCAATGTTTCCTTTGCTGTTAGCCCTTCCTTTCCCTATTCTACCATTTTACCACCTTGTTGTGCCTTTCTCTAGAAACTAGAATAGTATTTGATTAGGGAATCCACAAGGTCAATGGCTAAGTCTCCACGGAAGTTCAAACAATACCTGGTGACCTGGACAACAGCTCCTGCTTTGTTGCAAATGCAAAGTAACTTCCTGAGGGCAGGCAAAGATTTATAACGTCACAGCAGACTGACTTAACATAGTATCTTTCCACAACCACTTTAGATACCCAGGCACACATACCTTTAATTTGTAGCAACATCAGTTTTTTGTAAGGCACAGCACTGTTGTTGGAGTTTTGTTCTGTTAGGTTGACACTCCGTAGATTGACACTGCTGAAATTTTCTTTACTAGCTAACCCGGCGAGGGCGACTTCTGAGAAATTCGAGTGGGCAGACACTGAAGATGGAACATGAAAAAGCATGAAGTGAAACAAGGCTGGTGGTGGGTAGGTAGGGATGGGGCCATTTACATTTTGAAATCAAGTTAACATTTAGAAATGGTTCCCATTTAAGCGTTGTCTCTGAAAAGCGGCCATCTCCATCTGATGGGCTCTCTATTCTGATGGTCGACTACGACTATTAAGTTAAGAATTAAATAAGGTTATGAAAGCCTATACTGCTGGTTGACAAGCATAACACCTCACTGTGTACAGCCAAAATTGAGTGACGTTATTGGCCAACCACTTCAACATAAAGTGGAGAGGGGCTAAAACTAATTTGCTGCAATTCCCCTGAAAGCTGTCATAACCATTGCTAACAGCTTTTAGATGTTGGAACAATGTCTACAGAAAGCTGTTGAATCTTTTTTCACTGGAAGGCTTTTTTAATAAGAAAGAAAAACAGTTTATATGGGGCATTTTACTTGTGCTCTTTCCTAGAGGAAAAAGGATAGACTGATTTACCTCTTGAGGTCCTTTATAATCAGGCCCCAAATTTCAATTTATAAGATGCTCAGTTTTCTAGTAGAAACCAGCCCATTTACATGCTAGATATCACAAAGCAAGGGCTTATTTTAACCCTTTTTTTTTTTAAAGAACAGAATGGGTGCCAAGAACGCCTTGATTTCCCAACTCAGCATTAGTGGGAATGACTTTTCCGATGTGTAATTCAGAAAAATACTTCCCTGGGATTCATGTCTAAAATTGAAGGAATATAGTACTACTTGGCAAACAATCCATAGCACAAGCAGTTTTGAAATTGGCTTTCTATGCAGTTTAAAGAGTAATCTCAGCTCTTTCACTTAACAATTTACTTCTATGAAAAGCTTCATAAAATCAGGCACATGAGCTTCAGAAAAATCCACATACATCAAGAACACAGGCATGACAGGATGTGGTCACCTCATTCTCTCCACCTGCCCACTTCCCCCTCCCCCAAGCTAAACTTTCTCTAACATTCAGAACTACCTCAAGTCCCACCTTACCTGAGCACTACAGCTAGGAATAGTCTTTTCTTCTAAACCTACAAGCCAAAACCTTCTTAAACCAATTATTTTTGCGCTGATCTGTGGAAGGAAATAATGTATCTTCATGCCTACCTGTTTTATCTCCCAAAATATAAGCTATTTATGAGCAGGAACCATTTCTTTTCTTCTTTCTTTCTTTCTTTCTTTCTTTCTTTCTTTCTTTCTTTCTTTCTTTCTTTCTTTCTTTCTTTCTTTCTTTTTTAAGGCAGTTGGGGTTAAGTGACTTGCCCAGGATCACACAGCTATTAAGTGTCAAGTGTTTTTGGTCTGAGGCCAGATTTGAACTCAGATCCTCCTGACTTCAGGGCTGGTGGTCTATCCACTGCGTCACCTAGCTGCCCCAAGCAGGAACCATTTCTTACCAAGTCCTAGAACATCTACTAGAATGCCCTGCATGTATAAATAGTTAATAAATATCTGATTGGTTAAAAATTAAAAAGTAAACCAAGTTTGAGTATAAGTCATCATGACACTCATGGGCCTTCCGAAATTGAGGGTCTCTGAAAAACATGAACTGTTGTCAGGTGTTTTAGGAGGTGTGTAATTTCTGAAATTGAGTCATTCTATAGAAAAAGAGAAAACGGATCTTGGGTATAATTTTAGCAATGCTAAGGTTTTTTTTTTT